AAAGTCGATTTCACATAATTAGTTTAAGGTCAATAAACAACACGATCGTTTTGCTAGTAACATATTGTGGCGTGTTGGAGCTAAATGGGTGGATTTTCCCAGCATGCAATGAGACGATGTGTTTAAGGCCATTAGACAAAGAAAATTGTGTTTAAATGTGTTGTGAATCACTCACATTACTTAATACACAGTAGGGTTGTCATGAGAAACGATACTGTGGTACCAAGTCGATGCCAACATGCAAAAAATACGTCAGTACCGTAAGTACCAGATACAACTATGCCCTCAGCGGGCCGTGTCGATTCCTGTCAGAACTGACGGGGGCAGTATACACGCGTCAGTCGGTGCAGAGGACAAGCGACTTAGAAGAACACCTGTTCTCCATCGTCTTTGCTAGAAACAATGGCTTCTACAAGTGCTGCTGGAGCCACAACACCTCAGCTTGTCGAAAAAGTCAGCTAGTAGGAGTCGCGTGTGGAGAGGGCATCATTTACACCGCAAGCGATGCGTTCGCGTAGCGCTCGCCAACGGTCGCTGTTTACTCGAGTTTCATTTCGGGGAGCATGTTAACAGGTTAGAGCATTCACACCGCATCCGTTCTACGCGCTGCTCAAGTTGCGCTGCTTTCGCAAACAAGCTCGGAAATAGAAGAGATGCCAATTTTTTGTGCGTGTCACGAGCAAATGGTCGCGGTATTCAACAAAAAAAACACGAGTTTGCGTATGTTGTGACCTCTCTCGGCCACCGTAGACATCTTGAGACCTGACAGGCACGTTTCATGTACTTAGCCATTTGTAGTGCTAAATAGTAATTCTCCAAGTGTTGGAATAATCACTGGCGCATGAACCTGTCCACCCTGGGCTTTGGGTCCAAACTCACTACTTCTTCTTTGGGGTTTATTGGAGATTTGCAAACACGGTGCACTACCGCCACCAACTGTTCGGGTGTGGTTTGTATTTTGACAGGACAGCAGCGGCCGCTGCGCGACGTGTCTATTCGGTTTAGGTGTGAATACATGTGTGCTGCCGCTAAGCTTGTGGATCGCTTGCGGTGTAAATGAGGCCTAAAAGTTAAAGTTTGAAACAGTTTTAATGAAGTAGTGAATTTACAAATACATGAGTTCTGTTTTTATTTTTATCGTGGTATTGAATGAGTATCGAGAATGGTTTAAATTCACTGGTACTGGTATCGACTACTGAAATTCTGGTATCATGACAAGCCTATTACACAGTGATTAATGTCTCTGTATTTCACGATGGTTGTAATGGGTCACAGATAATGTTGTGGTAGAAGACATTTTGCAGTGTAAGTTAAGTCGTATACAGTTCGTGACGTCCCAGCTGTGTGGATATTAGAGCGTCTGACATAGTCCAGAGTTCATCTCTCTCTCGAATCAAGAAATCTAAACTCACCACAATATATTTTTATAGTTCAATGAAATTAAAAAAGGTTGTCAAATGTGTACTCAATGTTTTTATGTTCATGTGACAAAGAATTAAAAGCTCCAACAGCAACAAAGTTAAACTGACATAAAATTCCCGTCAGACAAGGGACATGTGACACATTTATTTTGCGTCTGGTGAACTCAAAACTTTCATGTTACTGTGTCGTACTGAACTAAAAGTTTAAGGTGCAAACTGTTTCCAAAAAAATGTTCAGTTGAGTTAGCGAATTGGGGTTTACAGTGTAGACCTAACACAGCTCCTTAATGCTGAGGAAGACCTGAAATTAATTGTAAACTCATTAATTCATGGACATATTTAGGAATCACTGTAACTCAGGACACAACCCTGAGACAGGAAGTCCATTTAAAGGCATTATAAAAGTGGACTTTATGACAGGACAGTTGTACTGTACTAGATTGTACAGATGCACATGATAAAGTGAGTGTATGACGACTGGGGCCTTGCACCTGATCGTACAGCCCGACTGCTGAATTGCAAGTAAGTAGACGAAAGCTGCAGTTCAGCTCCAGATTTGTTTGAGACCTCCCTGAGCAGCACAAACACACAGAGCAAAACACAGATTAAAGCAATTTTCACCCTGATCCTGCAATGTTTCTAAAACCTTCACACCACGTCAGCATGTCTGAGAATATCAAAACGAGGTGGACACTCCATTAAAATACATTATATCTTTTCATAGTATGGTGCAGTGGCTGTAAAAGTCTGGGCACCCCTGGTCAAAATTTAATTTACTGTGAGTCGAAGATGAACTGATTTCCAAATGACATGAAGTTAAAGATGAAACGTTTCTTTAATATCTTTTAGCAAGATGACTTTTTGATTTCAATCTTTTACAGTTTCAAATTAACAAAAAAGGAAAAGGGCCTGAAGCAACAGTTTGGGCACCCTGCATGGTCATGGTTTCAGTTCTAGTCTGGAGGATTTTCACCCATTCTTCCTGCAAAAGGCTTCTAGCTCTGTGAGATTCTTGGGCCGTCTTCATGCTCTGCTCTTTGAGCTCTATCCACAGATGTTTAATGATGTTTAGGTCGGGGGACTGTGAGGGGCGTGGCCAAACCTTCAGCTGGCTCCTCTTGAGGTCGTCCATTGTGGATCTGGAGGTGTGTTTAGGATCATTGTCCTGTTGTAGAAGCCATCCTCTCTTCATCTGCAGCTTTTTTTTTACAGATGCTGTGATGTTTGCTTCCAGAATGAATCCATTCTTCCCTCTACCTGTGAAATGTTCCCCGTGCCACTGGCTGCAACACAAGCCCAAAGCATCATCCATCCACCCCCGTGTTTAACCGTTTGTTCTCCAAACATACCTCAAAGTTCTGTTCTACCTTCATCAGTCCACAGGACGTGCACCACCACTCCAGAGTCTGACAAACCTTCCTGCAGGTCTTTTGCAGTCAAACAGAGGTTTTGATTTGCCTTTCTAACAATCCTACGAGCAGCTCTCTCACAAAGTTTTCAGCTTGACCTCCACAGTTCCTGTTAACTGTCATTTCTTACTGACATGACCAACTGAGGAAACAGCTCCCTGAAAACACTTTGCTATCTTCTTCTAGTCTTCATCAGGTCTTTTAGTTTTCAGAGTGCTAGGCAGCTGTTTAGAGGAGCCCATGGCTGCTGATTGTTGGGACAAGGTTTCAGGAGTCAGAGTATTTATAAAGCTTTGAAATTAGCATCACCTGGCCTTTGCTAACGATGACTGTGAACAAGCCAGAGCCCTAACAAGCTCATTAAGCTCTGAGACCCTGGGAAAAGCTGTCTGAGAGCTCAAATGTCTTGGGGTGCCCAAACTTTTGCACGGTGCTGCTTTCCTCTTTTTCCACTCTAAAACTGTACAAAACTAAAATAATGCACTGATCCTGCTTAAAATGTTGAAAATCACCTTTAACTTTGTGTCTTTTGAAGATCAGCTCATCTTCTACTTACTTAATGTTTTCACCAGGGGTGCCAAGACTTTTGCATGCCACTGTATTTAAAACTGAGTGATTCATCCTCTTCAAGGTTTACTATCTTTGACTCCAGTGTTGTGAGGCACAGCGCCACAGTAAGACAAATAATTTGCACTTTTCCAGCAAGCAGAGAATGTGGCACCAAACTGCATGTAGAAATATCACAATATTAAACCTGGCCTCATCGTGTGAATAAAGTATGACCCACAGGACAAAACTTTGGGCCTTTATCAAATCTTCAGAATGTCTTATTTAATTCGGCTTTGGTAAAAAACACAAATCGTCGTTAAGTAAACTTCCAGGTCAAATTATTTTGCTGGGTGAGCAGGTGAACCAGAGCTGAGGGTTCAAACCAGCTGGACTAAGTGTGAGTTATTACTGAGGAGCTGAGCCGAGTTACAGATTTAAAGCCTCTCATTCAAACCGCTGTGAACTTGATCAGCTGAGCAAAGACACAATGACATTATTCAACAACTGCACAGATTTGTCGTCAGTGTTTCCATGAGAGGAGCCACAGTCGGGTCCTAAGGTCAGCTCATCAGCTGATCGGGACAGTAGTGTCCTCCCTCTGTGGGACACACTGTGTGGTCACTCTGCAGGAAACTCACACACTACATGTTGAAGTTAAAGTTAAAGCGGGTCTGTCAGCGCCAGAGTCAAATCCACGTAGCAAGAGAGCCAGTGGAGGAGCTGAGAGTCCGAAGCTGTCGCCTCACTCTCGGACAGTTTCGTCTTTACCTTGCTGAACACCTCCAGGTCTTCGTCCTCGTCCAGGTCCAACATGTGTCCCGAGAAGTCCGCGGGGACCGTCTGTCCGCTCATCTCGCTCTCTGGCTGCTTAAATGAACTGAGCTCATGAGACAAACCTGAAAGGTAAACTTGCAGCACAACTTCAGAGCGGCAGAGAGACACGGAGCGGCCCACTGCAGCACTTCCGCTGACGGATTTCAAAATAAAAGCCGTCACTACTTCAGATACAATCACTGAGTCAACATTCTCATTGTTTGCCAGGATATATTTTCTGCAGCATATTTTGTGCTTCAGAAAGGCTTCAAGAGATTTCACCTTTCTGAGAGTGTTTACAGTGCTGCAGGCATGAAATAGCAAACACAAACTTTAAAGCCTGGGTCTTCAACACGGGCCAGATGCATCAGAATCAGAAATACTTTGTTGATTCATGACAGTCACTGTCATTATGCATTATGCTATGGGTAACACTAGAACTTAAGATATAAAGAATAAAAATATGTTCATGTGTGTAACAATACACAAATATGTGCACTGTGCTACATTACACTGCGTTAACTAGTATGTATGTATGTATTTGAACTCGTGAGCACACTGAGGCAAGCCTGATTTACAGTCTCCACGAACAAGATAAACAACAACAGAGATAAATAGAATACAACAAAAGACCATAAAATACAGTACAGGCCAAAAGTTTGGACACACCTTCTCATTCAATGCGTTTTCTTTATTTTCATGACTATTTACATTGTAGATTCTCACTGAAGGCATCAAAACTATGAATGAACACATGTGGAGTTATGTACTTAACAAAAAAAGGTGAAATAACTGAAAACATGTTTTATATTCTAGTTTCTTCAAAATAGCCACCCTTTGCTCTGATTACTGCTTTGCACACTCTTGGCATTCTCTCCATGAGCTTCAAGAGGTAGTCACCTGAAATGGTTT